TCTGACAGCCTACCTGCCATTTGCTACCATCGTCTTGTGACATTTTCAAAATTCTTTCCATGCAGTTGTTTTTCAATTGATTTATTCTTGTGCTGTTCTTACTGCTTTGCGACTAATAAATTACACTCAATGGCAAAATCTTTTAATTTTGCAGCTTCCCTATGATTAAACAAGACTATTTCCTATTTACAGTTTCTTAACTTTACAAGTTCCTTTCCTACAACTCCCTCTGTTGCTTTTCTCTGTTCTTCCTGGCAACATAAACTCCATTTTTAACTGCATTCACAATTATTATCTTAGGCAACAGTAACTTGACTTTTACAGTTACTTTGCCCTAGATTAACTAGATTTACTTTTGAAGAATACCGTTCTTGCAAACATATCAGTTACTCAGATTTGCCAGTATATGTGGACCAAATATGTCATCAAAAGAATGTGGAAACTCAAGGGAACATACAGAGGAATCAAAGAAGAACAGATGGAGCCATGATGGTAATGTTGAATTGATAAGGTAACACCTCCTAAGCAGAATAGGGGGTTGTGAATATACAAAGAGACCTCATAAATTGGCCAGTTGAATCACCACTATTATTTACTATACTTTAGTTCATATTATTATGTCTTTTTGACTGCCATATCTTCAGAAGATATTCTACCAAATATATTCTAAAGAATAGGTTGTCAATCTTGTTATTAAGCAGGTCCCCATATTACTGTGTTTTCACCTGGGGTGGAAAATACTCCTGGAATATAGACAACAATATAATTGTCTCAAAAATCAGTTTAAATAGGTAATCAAGCCACAACTGTAAGGACATGGAAGGAAGAGACATTCCTGTGTTGAGTATCTTGTTAATGGCAGTGAGTGTCTTCAGTTTCACTAGGCCTTTTGTTTTGTCTTCTGCTATTTGTAGAAATGAGAAAAAAAGAAAACTACAGAAAAACAATGCTCAGTTCTATATTGGAATCAGAATTGTAGTCACCTGTAAATAATATTATCTGGATGGCTGAAGCCCTTACATAAGAGTAACTTACAGAAACCTTAGCACTTGTACTGGGAAACCATGTGCTAATAGTGTTAAGCAGTGTTTTCTTAAAAAAAAAAATCCTAAAATGCAAGCTCTCCTATTTGCATCATGAAAGACTAATATACATATAACTTTTTAAGAAAAGTAAGGAAAAGTTAGCATTTTGCCTCTGAGAGTAATACATTTTCATATGGAAGGAACTCTGCAAGCTGTTTCTGAGTGCATAATGGAAGTTGTTTCTTCCCACACAGTGAGTTACCAGGACTCAGGTAGCAGTTACCAGGTATTGCTCTTTTTCAGAATGTATATAATGAGTGTATAGATAGAAATGGTAATGTCAAGAGACAATCAGAGGCTCAGGGGACTGAATACAGCCATGAAACTTTTTGTTTTCTGCTTCAGGTCAAAATCCTCTATAAGCAGTGGTTACCAAAGCACTCAGTGTCTAAGAAGCATTTGAGAGTAAGTTTCGAGACAGGTTTTGTGGTCGTAAATCTGCCTATGGATCAGCTATACAGAACAGCAACATAACTTGTACTGTGAAGAGACATCCTTGACACTTTCAGAAATCAAAAAATGGGAAAGGTGCCAGTACCAATGCATCCTTTGATGCCTGCAGTCAGTCCTTACAGAGCCTAGCTAAGAGAAAGCCTAGCATGGTCTGAGGTTTGTTTGTACAAACCGTAGGCTTTCCTCTGGAAAGAGTACAGCCGTACCTCTCAAGACGAGTAAATGCACTACAAAACGTATTAGAAGGAAATACCACATCACTGTAGGTATGGATTACTGCCAAAATGATCCAGTCAGTGCACTGGAATGGACTGACTCATTGGCAAAACCCCACAATCAAGATAGTCAAGAACAAATTGTATTGAAAAAGTATACATTTGCTTATGTTACTAAAAATGGTAGATTGCCAAAAGTGACTAAGAATAATTGCTTCTTTATATTTCATTCTGCCTGTGCAATGAAATTAAATTGGTCTGCTTAGTCACACATTTTGCTTGGAGTCACTGTTTTGCTCTCATGAAAGTCAAAGGGTTTAATACATTTTCTTTTGATATGACAACATAAGCATTTAGAAAAAAAATTAAGACAAAAATATCTATCCTGTTTTCACCATAGTAAAAATAATTTCAAATGTTTTCACTGACATACAGTTTAATGAAAGGTTTTGCTTGAGACTAGATTTTTGGAACATAAAGCACATCCTTGAGAGAGGTCTGTTCAGTTAGGAAGAACATCATGAAATACTGTGTGAAGGTCTACAAGCTTTTTAATTGGGTGATAATTGACTGCTCCAGTTCTCCATTAGTAATATCTGGATCAGAATCAAAATTAATAAGAAAGAGTCCTCCTTAATAAAGATTTAAAATGATCACAAAACTATTTAGTTGAACCCGAAGAGCAAAAAAAAAAAAAGTTTGAAGATGTTAGGCAAAGTTTATGAAGGTCATGACCCCCTGTAGATCCTTTTTTTATATCACCCTATTCCCAAAAAAAGATTTTTGCTTCTGTTCTTAAATGTTCTGTTTCCACCATTGAAATCATTACTACTGAATTAAGTAAAAAAAGATAATTTTCCAAGTACTGGTTACATCTCCATATGAATTTGAAAGAAGACAAAGCAGAGGTGTTTGAGATATTTCATGATGAAGAAAAAAGACAATCTGTCCTTGAACCTTGTCCTCTAAGGATCAGTGCAAAGAGTCTTATTTTGATTAACTTGTAAAAGATGAATTAGGGATTGGGGGAAGAAGAACAAAGGAAAGGCGAATCCTTAATTACAATCTTAAGCAACTGTGTGCAATCATGTTTCAAGATTTTCTTGCACGAATACATCTTATTAAGTTGTATACATGCACTCAGATGCTCCACAACTTGGAGAATGAAGATTGCTTCTAGTTGTTCTATTTAAACCACTTCTTCAGTTCACAAATGCCATGATGTTGGAATTACCTCCCTCTGATTAGAAGGGTGACATTGGAAGTCACATCTGAAAGTGAAGCTAAAAGACAGGTAAAATAGAGCAGTTACATATTGCATTTATTAAGATAGTCATGCATGTTACATTTGCATATTCAAATAAATTCAGAAATTAATATTATTTTTAAAAAATCCTTTTTGATTCAAACTAATTGTTTTGGGTTTTGTTTTTGTTTTTTTTTTTTGCCTTTTTTTAATGAAGTGTCTTTATCCTCACATTACTTTATTAGTGTTAACAACAAACTTTTTAGTACAGTGCATAATAGGAATGTAAATTAATTATATATGTATACTGTTAGTTTGTTCACAGCATGTTGAGAATGCTTTTGTGGTAAATATAAATCAAAAGACATTGGCCAAGGTTCATATCTTACAGCTGTCCTTGGTACGATCCATTGTTCTAAAAACAGTATGTGTTAAAAATATTTTTGTCCATGGAAAAATGTCAGTTCAGCAGCTCCACCGACATTTGGAACCTCTGTCTTTATTTTTATTTATTTTTTTTTTTTCTCCAGGACACGTCCTGACTCCTGGGTGATCGCGTTTCAGTTGTAGATCTGTATCATTCTGCAGACCCAAACGGCTTCAACAGTGCTGAAATGAGGCAGAAAGTTTGTGCTGCCGCTCTCCCAGCCGGACCACGTCCAAAACAAAGCAGGTACTCATTTCCCAGAGCGGCATCCCCGGGCAGCGCCTGGGTTACGGGGCTGTGCGTGGTTGCTGCCGGCCACCAGCCCCAGCGTGACACTGCGCCTTCTCCTGATGCCGGTGCTCAGACTCCCCTCCCTCCACTCTTTATTCTATGAAAGCACCTGGTTTAGTTATTCCACTTTTTCTTTTTTTTTTTTTTTTTTAAATCTTCCTCTCCTCGCTCCCCATCACCTCCCCACCATCCCGAGGTTTAAACAGTGGCCGGGTAGGCGTGACAGCAGCACTAGAGAGACAGAGGGCAGCAGGGGTACGAGGTTTTAGGTCCCCTGAGCAGGTCGGTGGTAGGTCGGTGCCCTGCCCCGGCAGAGCCACCCTGCGGCCAAGGGACCAGGAGAGGGGATCCCGGTCCGGCCCAGTGCCCCCGGCTGCCTCCCGCCAGCCAGGAGGACGGGCCGAGGCAGGGAGTGTGGGGTCCGCAAGTGTCAGGCTGGGGAGGCTGAAAGGGCAAAGCTGTAAAGCGGGGACTCCGCAAGTTCGGATTAGTTTTGCGACTTTTGTCTTCACGCCCCGGGAGCTCAGTCAATTGCAGCTTCTAGGACAAATTGCGTGGTGGGTTGCGGGGGGAGAAATAATAATAATAATAAAAAATATCTTAAAGTCTCTCCCTTCAGCTCCGCGTTTCAAATGCAAATCGGGAGAGAGAGTGGTTCCCGCCCCACCCCCTAGCCCGGCTCCTGATTTTTATCCAAAGGACTCCATCTGTATATCCTGTCAAGGAGGAGGAGGACAGGCGGGAGGTGGGGGGAGGATTGGAGCCGGGCAGACTGCTTGCTCCCTGGATCCCTCTTCAATAGCCACCGCTGGGTCTTCGGGAGGTACAAAGAGTCCCTGTGCCGCCTCCGGGCGCCCTCGAACGGAGCTGGCAGCCGGCTCCGGTCGCCGAGCCGTGATATCCCCTGCCCAGAACAGCATCCCCACCTCCTCTGCCTTCTCCCTCCCTCCCCTCTCCTTCCCTCCCTCCCTCCTCTTCCTCCTCCTCCCGCAGCCCCGATCCGCACCCAGTCGGAGCTGGGCTTGGCACAGACACCCACTTCTCCCGCCGTGTGCCCAGCGGCTGGCCGCGCCGTGCCGTGGTGGAGGAGGAGGAGGAGGAGGAGCGGAGCGGCGGCGGCAGCGCTCCTTCATCCGCGGGTGCGGGCGAGCGTGCGGGCGGGCGCGCAGCCCCCATGCCAGGCAAGCGCCCCGCCGCCCGCAGCCCGACCCCTTCCGCCCGGGAGCATCCCGCCAGCACTTCGCCGCGGAGGAGCCGGTGGCCCTTGGGATTAAAATACTCACCGCGCCGGGCAGCCGAAGCAGAGAGGGAGCAGGTAAGTGCCGGCTGCACCTGTGCCTTTCCCTGCCTTCCTTCCCCTCCCGTGTAGGCAGAGGGCGGTCGAAGCAGTTGCGGAAAAGGGCTGTACGCCGCTCGTCCGCACCCGCCCGCCCCGGAGCGGCTCCTGCCCGGAGCGAGGCCGCGGCTCCGCGGAGCCGGCGCGGCCGCGGATAAGTTCGGCGCTTTCCGCGCTGGGGGCGACCCGGGCAGCGCGGCGGGGACCGGCCGCGGGACCATCGGCACCAGGGGTGGCCGGGGGAACGGGGAGAGTGGGAGCACTGGGACTATAGGCGTGCGCGCACCTTGTGAGAAATTAGAGAACAATAGCATCACTCTTGACTCTTTGGAGAAGTCTCACAGACAAGCGGGGAAGTGGGGTGGGGGAAGGGAGGACCACGGACTTCTGCAAAATATAGGCAGCACAAAGTCCTGACTGTCTCAGTCCTTTCTGCCAAGCCAAAGCGACTGTCTTGCTTGGCCTTGAAGTCCTGCAAGGATGTTACAGTGCAAAAGATTACTGAAGCAAGGAAATTTCCTGACTTATTTCCCAGAGCTTTTGTCCTTTTATGTCAAGGATGTTCTAGAGTTTGCAAACGTTGAAATTATAGGAGCTGGGTTTTTTTTTATTAGTATTCAGTTCATAAGGCTAGCTCTGCAGTGTTTGAGTGATACTGAACCCTTCCCCCTCTGCCCCGTCCCCTCCATCTATCCACATACCCACACTCACGGGCACGTCCTGCTTTCCTACAATAGGCTGTGTGCATCGGTAGCAAGTGGTTTGTGATCTGGATCCTCAGACTTCTCATTGCTAATGGAGGAAAAAAAAATCACTTTTTGAGATATGATTTAGCCTTTATATTCCTGCTTTCAGAAAGTGAGGTAGTTCAGGTGAGCCAGGATTCTGCAAATGATATCTTTCTCGGGATTTAGGAAGGGATGGGAGATGGAGACTAGTGAGGTGCTCTGATTCAGGGAACTGAAATGCTGATGCTTTATTTTTTTTCCCATTGCAAGGAAAAATCTTGTGTTCTGATAGATGACTTCTCAAGTCAAAGCAGAGACTTGAAAGAGCAGAGTATGCTTCATAGTCTCTCAAAGAAGACATACTGCCTTGCCATTTTTCAGCTAAAACATAGGTGATTGTGCAGCTTTGCAGAAAACAAATTGCTTTTCCAGGACAAATAAATAAATAAGTACATAAAAGAGCCAAACTCTTAAGCGTGCCATTTTCTGAACGTCTCTCATTGGTATTGATGTGTGACTTGACTTTTCTACACTCATTACATCTACTAATAGTTTCTGTGTTATATTTGAAGTTTGCAGGGAATTGTTACTGGTAAAAGCTAGATACTTTCTTTCTGAAAAAGATAGGTCTACATAATACCAGGTGCAGAGCTGTTCAGATGGGCAATAGCATGAAAGTTGCATAACTGAATTAAGTTTGCTTAGAATAAAGCTTCTGAAGGTACAACAGGTCAGCAGATAAAGATCAGCTGTAAAGTCACGTCAATTTTCTCTCAGCAATATCATAACAGTTTTAAAGATGCAGAAGTGAAGTGAGGATGTTTAGAAATTATGTGATTGTGCCTCATTAGAGATAGTTCAGTGTAATGTGTGTATTATCATTTCTGGAGGGAAAAAAAAAAAAAGAGCAAAAAGCCCACTAAACAAACTCAAAGAACTATCCAGGGATCAAATGTATCATCCTGTTTAAAGTGCCTGGACACAGTTTTATAGTTTTCCAGTCTGCACCTACCAGGGCATCTATCTAGGCATCTAGACACACTTTTTTTAGAATCATGAAGAAAAGCTAAGTGAGATTTACAAAACAATTGCAATAAAATCCACATCGGGGCAAGAAAAGCAAAGGAGCTAAAACCTGACTCTGACAACTTTTAATATTAAGTATGTGCAATATATAGGGTTTAAGTACTTAATAAAGTCTTAAAACTACCTGGAATATTAGGAAAGTGTTAAAAATAATAATCTGATCTACCATTGCATATTGTAAGTGCATGCCAGTTAATGTGAATGGAATTACAGACTTCAGTAATACAGACTATTTTCTTGCAAAAAGCCATTAAAAACTGCAGTTTTAATCAAGGGGCATTTTACCCTTATAATGGGAGACTTTACTGTAATTAAAGGCTGATGTAGGTCATTAGAATTGTGTTAAGTCAGATGACAGTCTCACAACTCTCTTAAGTCTACTTCCATTGATTTGATAGAAAAGCACTCTTGATTATTTGCTATTGATTTAATAGCAAATAATTCTTATCTTTTCATATAAAAGGGTAATTGTAAAGCACTTGTATAACTACAGATTAACTGTGAATTATCTGATGAGAAGAATGGATACAGCATCCATGTAGATTTTCAACTATCCTTTTCATATATGACTGTGTACGTGTCCATGCTGTGTCCACATTTTTCTATGTTTCTTCAGCAGTCAGAGACTTGACTGAAGGAAATCATTGTTAATGCAAGACCTTACGTTGTTCTAGTCCAACTTAAATTCCTACTTTACTATAAACCTGGCTAAACCTTTTCTCAAAGGGATTCAACTCATAAATTGACTCTAGTGTGTGATGGAAATAGAAAATATTTTAAACTTCAAATGGTTTACAGATGAATATACTACTTGGGAGCCAGTTTTAGTGATGGGTTGGCTAGTAAGTTTCTGTGTGTGTTTTTTGGCTATTGGCTTCAGTATCTGATGTGTTCAGCAGTTCTTCAATGAAGGCCTTTCTTGAGGAATTCAGTTTCCTTTAGTTTATCACACACATTTTTTCATGCTACTACTGGGTATTGTTTTCTTGTGGCAATAAAAATCATTAAATTCTAGCTGAGGAAGGGTGCATAAAATAGATGATTACTTCGGTTCTTCCTGTCAAACCAGGCTTAACTCTAAGCAGTAATGCAGGAGTGCCTCCTCTGGGAATTCAGCGGTTCTGCAAGAAAATCATCCCTAGGCATTATGTGAAGTTTCTCAGCTGAAATGAGGCTGCAGAAATTGAGCTTGTGCAAATTTAAATATTTGTCTTGATTGGTCCCAGATCCACAAATACTGCTGGCATTTCTTTTCAATAACTGATCAAATTAGCATAATCCTTCTCAGCAACTTAGATGTTTCAAATGTGCCGTAGCAAGGTGAAAAACCAGCAAAGCACTTTCACATGGAGAAGATGATATTCAAAACAAATTTTTCTTTTGTTAATTTTTCTTGGGGAAAAAACCCACCCACCAACAACCCAAACAATTTAACACTCTAGCCACGTTCCATCTTATGATCAACTGCAGAGCTGTATAAAAGACCAAAAGCTGTTGCCTGGGGGGGTTTTGTGCATTTTTTTAAGCCGTAACATTAATGAAGTGTGCCTAGTGTTTTTCTGTTGCCTCATCAGGTCCTTTCACCTGAGTCAGAGGGTATTGGAGCCAGTTTAGTGTAACAGCGCCATATGTTTGGAGCAGTGATAGTTTTTTGCTTGATAACCAGATGCAGACTGCAGGATGTGCACTACATTTACAGATCTCCCATGTGAATATTTAGGCCAGTTAGCGGCAGGAGGTTGTGGTCTGTAGATGTAATGTCATCTGGCACAGGGAATTAATAGGTTTCATTGTACTGCCTTGACTTGCAGAGCTTTATTTCACTGAAGGGTCCCCACTCCACTTGCTCCAAGCCACCCTTGTTGTTTGGGTTTTTTTTGCTTTCCCTGAAAGAAGTGATAACCAGACAATGCAATTGACACCATAATTAGACATTGTCTCAAGGATCACATAGTTCCTGTGCCTGTGAAGGAGTCTCCTGTAATACTTAGGATGTGTAACATGGAGGAGCTGCAGGCTCATAACAAAGGGGAATTTTCTCTGTCACTGAATGTAACACCCTGTCCAATGGACATTGTAAAATAGAATGTCAAAACATAAATATTTCAGTGAGGCAGTTCAGCTGTCAGGAGGCTCACCTGCTGATTCCACTGTGTTTAAAGCATTGTGGTTCAAGTTCTAGTGGTAACAGCCACCCTCAGAATTATTTCAACACCCAGGATCTGATTTTACTGAATGACTAAAGTAGAGAACAAACAAACAAGTGTGGGATTACTGTGCATTGTTGACCAAGGAAAGCAAGATTTACTAGCAGGTGATGGTTGGGGTGCACTTTCAGAGTCAGTGGGGTCCAGATTTATGCAGTAAATTTTGCAATGGTATCAAAAATTGAAGTAGTTTGATGAGAGGAGAATAATGCGGCAGAGGGAAGGAAGAGGGAAGAGAAGGCAATAGAAGTGGTAAACTCTTCAGTTACATCTTCAATGAATGCCCTGGGCTAACAGCAAGACTTCAAAATAGAGAAATGCAATCCAGACTGGTGGAGTTCACTGGTGGAAAAGGTTTTGGATTTCCAGTTCTTCCTGAAGCATTTTGCATTGGAAAAACATCAGGACAAAATATGCTGAAGGACAAAATTCCCTATTGGGTTGAAGAGATTGACAAGGAAATGATACGGTTCATAGATTAGGCTGGCACTGTGACACTGGTAGCAATGTGTGAGCAGAAGTCTGCAGGAATTTGCATTTTGGCAGCAAAGGTTAGCTGGTGCAAAGATGATCTCAAAAGCCTTCAGCAAACTGCCCTACAGGGCTGGGGAAATCTCAGTGGTGGGGAAAGAGGGCTTCCAAGATGATATCTCTGAGAGTGAAGACTTGTCCTTATCTACTGCTGCTCTTTACTACACACAAACAGGGAAGACTAGTCATGATGTGATGTTTTAGAAATTATGGAGTGAAGCAAAATATTCAGAGAGATTTTCAGTGGGTGTAAATTACCTTAATTGCTTGCTGTGAGGGTTACTATTCCTTAAAGCTGAGGATCTTATTCATGATCTGAATGTTTTCAACAAATCAAGATTGCCCCTCAGAGACAGTGCATAATAGTGTCTTAGTGTCTTTTTGACACTAGCAGATTGTTTTGGCGAAGTAAAGTAGTAATATTTTTCAGATAGCAGTGTACACCAGAACACTTCTCCTACTAGACTGTGGCTTAAATATAGTTTGATTTTTGTACAGCAGATGGGAGAAAA